GGGGGGGGCTAGTTAAGAGTCAGACTAATATCTTCTACTCTAGTTACCTACCAATTTTCACTCTTCTAGGTCGATATTTATTTGGGCAGTTAATTTACCTTATTAATAGGCAATGCTTGTTTGCATTTGAATAAGGGGTCACCAAATTATATGACTTCAATAAATTCTGCTAGTTTCGTGACCTCTACCGTGCTCATAAAGGTTTCGGGTCAACTTTTGGTAGAATGAGTGGGAACTGAAGAGTCCACTAGCGGAGTCAACAGTCGTCTACCATCCTCTCCAGATATGTGTAAACAAGACAATTGCAAAAACCCCTTGCCCTTTTAAGTTTAACAACATAAGAGCAATCGCAGCTTAACAAAATGTTCAGTATGGCATAATAAGACAAACTTAGTTTATTCACGAGACCACCGCAGGCGCTATTTGTGGGAAAAATCAGGAGCAGGTGGAATAAATAAGTTCATTTATTATGTTTAGCACTTTGATTATTTCCGCTATTGTTCTCATCAGATAAGGATGACGAGGGTGCCATGGGTGCTGTATTTATAAGACCCATTTGCAAAGCAGCTACGCGCCTTATTCAATTAGCAGATCTCGTGCTCATCGCTGCACGTTCATACATGATGCAATTATTGCTCACGAATTGAGGCAAATATTCATATCCCAGGTATGTGAATAGATGGAGAAGAAGAATCAAAGGCGTGTCGACCACCGGAATTGTCTTTTTAATCGTGTGAGCTTTTCAAATCTTGCGGGAGTCCACCGTCAGAGATAAAAGCCTCAACGAAATACGCGCAACATTTACAGGGGACAGGGGCCAATCAACCGTTATAGGGGCTGGGAGGGACCATTTAACCACCAGTGCCGTCAGTCTGGTTATGCCTGCGCAGGGCGATGTATGCGGGTGCCAGCTCGATACGTCAGTCGACTGAATTGTCATCCGGGGGCCAGGCTTCAATCAGTTCTCGGCCTATTTTGTTGCCAACGTGGGCAATTATCCTCGCAAATGCGAAGTTGAACTCCCGATCCGTCTCATATGTGTGGGCAGCCACTTACGATAATGCGTTACTTCATTGTACAGTCAGCTTATGTTCATGTATGCGCGAACCAAACATGCGTCCTGTCTGTCCTGTGTACATTCGGAGACAATTTAGACATGGTATGCAGTACACTGCGTCCGACTACTCAGTGGAATATATCGGCCCTTGGTTCTCATGACCCGGTTGCGCATGGTAGTCTTAGGATGGTGTGCAATCCCGACGTCTAGTCCGGCGGCAATGTGCTCGGTTGCTTCCGACACATCCTTGATCTATAGGAGTGCATGCCATATCGTACAGGTTAGTTCTGGTTGGGTGGGCGAACGCGTAAGCCTCGGCTTACGTAGGTCTTCGGATAGCCCTTCCGCATAAACTGTTCGCGGAGATATCGGACTTCACTTGCGTTTTGTAACGAGTGACTGTAGTGAGTCTGGACTCTTTTGAACAGCGTTCTTCCGCAGCTTCGTTTTTGAGCCACCGGATGGTTGCTGTGAAAATTTAGAGGATGTATGGTGTTCGTCACCTCCATGTAGACCGTCGTTTCTATTTCGCACTCGGGAATTTGCATGATGAGTGCATCAGGGATGGGTAACTGCTAATCCTTTTTTTCTTCCCTTGTGATTCCGGTGATCGACACGCCTTCTTTTTCTTCTTAAGCAATTACTGCTCGTTACTGTGCGTCCGAGTCGCTAATTTTCGAACTTTTATCACCGTTCTTGATTCTTGGCGTGAGGATTACTCAGCAGTTTGCCTCGCTGTCACAGGAATCGTGGGCCGTTCACGTCCTCCCCGTATGACTAATTACTCTGCCTAGCACACGTCTCAACAAAAAAATAGGGAGCCTCTGAAGAGAGGCAGCAATTGCAGCTCCAAATTCGATTATTGCCTATTTCTAGGTAGCTGTGGGTGGTCAACTGAACCTTTTCTGGAGATGACTCAATTTAGTGAATTCTCTTACCGCTAAATAGAAAAGTCCGCGTCGCTTAAATATCCACGCCGAGGACGTGCCTCAGCACAACATAGAGAGCCTCTGAGGGCTTTGCGTTTTTTTAACTGACTGCGGACTGCGCAAGCTGGGTCCGCGCATACACGAACATAAGCTGGCTGTTCGACGGGCTAACACGTTATCGCAAGCGACGGCCCACACCTACGAGACAGGTCACGAGTTCAACTTCACAGCCGCGAGAATAATTTCCCACGCTGGCAGCAAGTGGGCGGAGAACTGATTGAAGCCTGGGCATCGGATGGCAACTCAGTTAGCCGATGTGTCGAGCTGGCGCCCGCATATGTTGCCCTGCGCGGGTATCTCCAGACCCACGGCGCTGGTGGTTAACTGGCCCTCACCCCTCCTCCGCCCTACCCTATGAAGTTTAATTGACCCTTCCCCCTATTAATGTTGCTTGTTTTCGTTGACAATTTTATTTCTGTAAATATTTTCACCCTATATGCCGATCCCGCCTACTTGCGCAGACTACATTGGCCAATTGGCGCCCACACCAGACAGTTATTGATTTTCTAAACGTTCAAAATTTCGTTTTGTACACAGGCCACAACTAGCCCCCGATTAGTTGATGTTTTCATGTCTCTAACGATGGACTCTTTTTGGATTTCGAAAGCTCAGACTAATAAAACTATGATGCCGGTGTTCGACACAGCTTCTTCCTCTCAATCTAACCATGACTCAACCAGCTCACGGCGCACGAATTTGCCAGTCCTTGCAAGAACTTCGACCTCGTTGAACGTAACAATATGGCCGGAAGAATTATGCCACAAGTGAAACTTCATTGCGATTTTATCTTATCTCTTTACTTGCATCCGCCGAATATATATTTAGCATCAAAAAGTGACATAAACACGTCGTTCGCTTACAATGGGAGCATGTCCCCAATTTATTGGTCCTATCTTGTCCTCGTTTTCAGGATTCTTCCTACTATGCTTCTACAAGTGCCTAGTTTTTCCCCATTTAGTTGCGCTATCGTAGCCTAGGCAGAATTGTAGGTTTTGGGATCGATACCGGTAAGGATGACTTGTAGGGCCACCTAAACAGCACACGGGTATAGGAACGCCGCACACACTTAAACTAGGATACCTCGGGTCAAATGTCCGGAGGGACCACTATTCCCGTGTCTTAAACCTAACGTGAAACTAAACTGAA